TTTCCGAAGGTCTACAGCATATCCTTTTTTTCAGTAGATTGGAAAACCATATTGCCATGTGCTGTGATTCTACTGTTATGTATTATTTCTTCATTAATATAGATAAGGCTGAGTTACGCCTTTTGGAAAACTGAAGGGATCATTTTTTGGAAACAGATTTTTAGAATTGAAAGGAATCTTAGAAACCATTTAGTCCCACACACTTATGTTAAAGATAATGAAATTTCAATCCAGACAAGTTAAACCACTTGCCAAGGTCAAATCCTTGGTAAGTGGAAGCATCTGGACATACTTTCATCCCAGATCATACTGCTTCTTGAGAAATAGAGCAAAAAATATAAAAATATCTAGCAAATCAGAGGCATGAAGCTATTTCAAGGGCATCATCATTACTCTGTAGAGTCTAGATGTAGCAGGTAGTATGTAATCTTAAAATTACCTAGTGCTTTGTAAAGCTACACCAAAGACAGTCTAAAGTAAGAAGGCAATAACGTGGTACATTAGAAAACACGGCTGAATTCCTAATATCTTAATGTTTTTTATTCATTTAAAAAGGTATTTCCTATTGAAGAAAACAGATTTTTTTCTTTTTAAAATCTGAAACAAATCAAAAAGCAGTAATATCAATAATAGTTATAGTAGCCAATACTCCCGAGTATTTATTTTGTGCCAGACCTTGAGCTAAGACCTTTCTGTGTATTATCTCATTCGATCTTTACCAAATGGTTAGAAGTAGGTGCTATAATTATTCTCATGTTAAACATGAGGCAACAGAGTGGTTAAGAAAGCTGTCTAGGCCACAGAGCTACTGAGAAACAGATGGCATGCGTGCTTTTAGCTACTCCCTATATTGCCCCCAATTAGGCCTTCATTTTACTGACTTTGAGTTTTAAAAAATGCTTCTTTGTAAAGGTGAGGCAATTACAGATGCTTAACATAAAAAAATTTTAAAGGAAAAAACCAACAAAATATAATCCCAAAACACCACCCTCCAAACTCTAGCCTTTATCTTGAAACAGACGTTCATTCTGACTGATTTAAGATGATTTTTTCTAGAGGTTATTTTCTTCTATGGTTTAATAATTAATTTTGAAAATTGTTTCACTAACACGCTTAAAATTTTACTGCTTTGAAAAACTAGTAAACAAAGTAACTTATTAAAAATGAAATTAAATTCAAACTGTGTAAGCTGGACACTGGAATATAGTCAACATTACAGAATAAGACTATAAACTTTAAAGGTACTAGGGTGCAGTGATGGTGGTGGCTATAGTGTGGGGAACACATCATGGTAGTCTTAAAATTTTTATTTAGAATGAATTATATAAAACTGCCATATTTCAAAGACTGAGTTTTATGATCTATTAATAAAATTGTAAAAAATTATTCTGCTAGAATGGTTTTATATATTAGGTGAAAAAAATCTTTCTCATGTAACATAAATTGAATTTGTATTCTCAGACCATAAAAAACTATTACTCGTATAAAAGTAAAAATTAAAATGAAGTCTGATCAATCTATGTTTACTTCACACTCTAAAGTGACACTGGTAAATTTATTTATGTAGAGAATTATAATCAAATCCAGCACAGGTAAACACAACGTATCTTTCAATGTAAGTAGATTTCCCAGTGCAGGAATATTTAAAAATTTTAAGCAAGTCTTCAAGAAGAGGATGCTACTGTTGGTCACTGGTCACTTTAAAAAAAAGTCTGCAAACAATTTCATTCTTGAAGTAGATGGATTCTATTAGCACTATTTTCTTAAATTAGACAGTATTCTTTTTGTTTTAAGTTTTCTTATTTAGTTATTTCTACAGTATGTTTAATCCAGCAATTAAAATTGAAGGTAGAAAAACTTGAAACATTCAATACAAGCATAGATTTTACAATTAAATATAATTATAACATAAGAAAAATGAAGAATTCAATTAGAGATTGAGATTTTTCTCTTTTCTAATGGAAAGAAGTTGATGAAGCCAATTAGTAAAGGGACCAAGTTTCCATTTTCTGCTAACAATGGGCTAAACATTGTATGTTCAGGATAAAATCAACAGTCACGCCCCATCTCACCCACTATTTAAAAGGTACTAACTAAAATGTGAGTAATAAACAGGCTCAGTTTTATTGATGTTATTTGAAACTGGGTTGATTAAACTTGTTTGTTTTAAAACAGACATTAATGTATTATTATTTGATTAGAATTAGGGGCACTAGGATTCTGTACTGGGTGAAAGAGTGGAGAGGAAAAGTGGTTCCACTGATGAGTGCTTGGCTACTCTCTAGCCCAGTGGCTCTCAAAGTGTGGTCCCTGGACTAGCAGCATCCATATCACCTGAGAACTTGTTAGAAATGCACATTCTCAGGTACTACTCCTGATACACTGAAACAGAAAATGGGAGGAAGTTGGAGTCCTGTAATCTGTTCGGCAGCCCTCCTGGAGATTCTGAGACCTACTCAAGTGTTACAAGCAATGCTCTAGCCTATAAATCCACATCCTTCATCATTTGATCTAACCATGTCACTACACAATTTTTTTCTCTAGTTTCTGCAACTGTAAAACAGGGTTACTAATCAAGAAGATGGGCAAATGAAAACACACACACACACACACACACACACACACACACACACACACCCCACCCCTCCCCAACACCACTCCCCGTCCCCGCCACCCGGTGAAGTCAATGGCAGAGAAGAGACAGCAGCAACTAGGATTGTATGTGGCTGAGGTCCAATGCTGTAGCCAGAAGGAATTCAAAACAGCTCCACCTGAGAAGGACAGAGGCCTACAAATTTACAAATACTTACGAACATCTTGAGGCAGTAATAATATGCCAGCTACAAGAGCTATAGTCATAGGAAACACTTAGTGAAAGCTCAAATAAAGTCCATTTCATTCTGATCTCAGGTAATACCACGTAAAGGTATGTACACCAGAGTTCAGTGCACACATCTGTGAAAGTAACCCTCCCGCCAACTGTTACACAGTGAGGATCTTCTCAAATGAAGGTCCTCCATTCTCCAGAGTTTGATGTCAACTACTTTAGATTCCAAGGCTAGTTATTCTCCTAGCTCTCACCAGCTATCCAGTCCTGAGGCTAGCACAGGGCTTTACATAATACTGTTTTCTAAGTATATGATCTTAAAACACAAAACAAAAGTAACACATTTCCCCTTCCACTTTATACTCACAAGAAGAAGGCTGAAGTTTTAAAAAATAACTTTTAAGAAGCAAAGGAAACCTGACAGTAGCATATGAAATGAAAGCATTTACTGAGCACAGGCATTTGAAAAGCTAGGCTCTAATTCAAATCCCATCAAAAATCCTGTCACAAGGCATCTGCTAACAAAGGCCTCTGACTTTGCAGGGCTTTTTGGAATATCCAATATATCCTATAAAATGTGTAACAGAATCCACACAACATTAATTGTGTATTAATTCAAGAATTACTGTGAGGTATTTTATTTATATGTAATAACTTAAAAATTTAAAAAGTAAAATAATCTTGATTCACAGCACACACTCCCCAATTAACCAAATCAAAGCTTTACAGTGCCAATATTTTGAGTTCTTGATGAGAAGAAAGAATAAACAAAGTTACAAAGCAACCAGCGATTTTCGAGGCCCCAGTAAGTAGAAAAGAGCCCATGACAATCGCGTAGGGGAAAAAAAAGGGAGAGATTCACAATCTCCCTAAAAAGAGGACCCACTCTACCATCAATCTATCTCACTCCACTTCTAAATAGCTAATCAAAGGTAAAGGAACCTAGAAGCTGTTTGCAACAGCCCACATTTGAAAGTAGGCAATAATAACGTGGAAATGAAAATGAATCTAACTGCATAACGGAAACTGATGCTGGCACTCATCAGGTTTCCTCTGACAAAAGGTGCTTTGGCTCAGTTACTGATCATAACACTGACTGGGATTTCTATCCCAGAGCAACTGTGGACCACTGCTCACTTTCAAATGGTTCCTAGTCAGAATATTCCCAGAACACAGGCAGCAGATTTTGTCAAATGACAAAAAGAAAATTGAGGCACATAAAGATATAGTAAAATCATCATCTGTCTTGATAGAAAAAGAAACAGGAATGGAGAAGAGCTGATATTTAGAGTTAGTTTAGCCTAGGTTATGTGGATTCCAATAGACTATACTGAACAATTTCTACATAAACATATATAAGGGCTCAGTTACTTCATTCCACAGTGAGGTAACCTCAACTGATTTTTGAAAAATTACTTCTGTAAGATCTAAATGTTTCCTAGAGATCATGTAGCCAGTACTAAACTTATCTTAAGCCATCTGATAAATAGCGAAGTATAAAAAAATTATAGTACCAATATTACCACTGCCCAAAGAAAGTTAGCATTCCTGTTAGAGTGACAATTCAGTGTTGATTTCTACCAAATTAAACCCTTGTTTAAGTATAAAAAATTTTTTGCTCTTATAGAAATCTTACTTATCTGGTTCTGAGGGATAATGCCATGCTACTTAAGAGGCCTATACTGTAATACTATTTCTTCTTCCAGATTCTAATAGGCTTTTAATAGTTACAAAACCTTAAGCACAACAACCACTATCACAAATGATATAAAGTTTCTAATTTAACTATTTCCTAGAACTGGAAAGAACCACCAGTTCCTAGACTATACAATAATCTCAAAAGAACTCCATTAGCATTGCATATGTATTCTACCACCGAACTGTATATAGTCTTTGGTATTCAAAACAAAAGTGGGCCCAGCCCACAAAGAACCCAAGTAATGTGACCTTTTTCTTAGTCCCATTTCAAAAAGCATTCATCTCAGTTTAAAAGCTGTAACCTAATGTGAACTCTTCACATACAACTAATTCAATGCATTTTAAAAACCAATACAGTAAATGATATTAAAGATTAGAATTATAAATAAGAAAAATGGTTACTTATCTTTTATTCACTGACTTTTTAATATATGAGGAAAAGAAAAGGAAAAGAAAACCTATTATGTGGACCTACGTTTTGGCTGTGACATCCACATACTGTCCTGGGCGAAAGTGAGCAGCATAAAGAGGAGTACCTTTATGAAAAGAAAACAAAAAATCAATTTAAAGTTTGTCTGCCCAGAAACAACTTCACTAAACATAAACAGTATCTAGGAAGACTTTCAGATTATCAGATTTCAAAAACGGTAGGAGATTCTCTTCTGCAATTATAGTTATTAGAAACATCAACTATAAGATAATAAAACTGTTCAATAAACATGTTTTAATTGACTGTATATGGCTAAAGAACAATATGCCCTAGTATGAGGGACACAGTGCTAGAATGAGCCAACAGACCATGGCTGGCTGACAGCATGCCTTTACAGCAGTCAACATGTGTTAGCCGAGATGGGCAAATACTATAACAGTGTTCCTACTGGTAAATACACGAGTTTGATGATTCCTGGTTATTTGGGTGAGTAATAATATACTGAATCAAAGTATATTTCCTATTTCAGATAATAATAAAAATGTAATAATTCAGAATGTAATAAAAAAATAAAAATGTTGGGGCTAGATAAAATCTTTTTTTACTCATTGGAGATAACATATCTAAAATAGAAACTTGAATTATTTGAATACAGGCCCATCATTCTCTGGGTAATAATTATGTTATGTATGACATCCATATCATATCATAAGCCCTACATATCATATTTTTGGTAGATTGGTCATTATTTCAATAAAAATAGTTATCCTAGGATATGCTCAGAAATTTGTAATACCAAAAAACTGCCATTATAGATTCCCCTAATTTTATATACTTAACATTTCCAAAACTAGTTGTATGTAAATTAAATCTTACTTTAAATGCACTTGGAAAATGTGTTTTTTAAAGAAATTTAGTAACTCAAAGCTCGTCACAATATTTTGTTTATATAAATTTTCAATTAACACGAGAACTATTTAATTTGGCAATTAATCTTTAAATATTTATAGGGAACTTGTAATATGTAAAGTTAGAAATGCAAAAGTATTATAAGGCATGGGCCCTGATCTCAAGAATTTATTATCTAGGTGAAGAATTAACATTACATCATCGAGTAAGAGACTTCTTTAAAAAAAAAAAAAAAAGCTGGATCTAATGTACTAGAGAATGTAATGGAAAGCTGCCTGCTTAGTATAACAAGGAGTAAAGTGCTAAAGAATTTCAGAGGGTAGTATCCTTTAAGGTAGGACCTAACCTAAATTTGTATGGGCAGAGAAAACACTGGAATTAAGAAAAAATAGGAGAGATTAAAAATGAATTTCTATAAGGTTAAACAACCTGAATTGTTGATATTTAACTATTTCTACCCACAAAAACAACAATTTCACATGGTTTGAGCTACAGCAAAAGTTAATGTGGACTTAATTTTTACATTTGTTAGTTTAATTCTATTTAATTGCAAAATGTGCACTTCAAAAAATACTTTCATTCTAACATATCAAGGCTGACCCTCTGTCATTCCAATTAATACGGTCCACTGCAGTTGTATTTTACTGCAAGAAATTAAGTTAAGATATTAATACCAAATTTCAAAACATCTTTCTACTGTCTACTTGTTAAAACTCAATTTCAAGAGATTTAGAGAGCTTTTCTGAAGTTTAAGGACATCAAAATGTTGTTCATTATATGAACCAATGTAATCATATTGCCTAATCTCACTTTTTGAGATTCCATGGATTAGGTTAAATTCGTTGAAATTTTTAAGTAAGATCTTCACATCGAGGGAGGTGCTGTAGTAATCATTTTCCCATTTCGGGCTATAGTTTTTCAAATTCTTATATCTCAGGAAGAGTCTAGCTATACTCCACTTAATAAAATGCCAGCCTACAAACAGTAAACTTCAGATTTTAAAAGCCAGTGTATTTGTTTGGCGTGACTTTTCAAATGTAAAACTCGCTGTACATTAAAAACAAAAGCGTTTCTCCCTCTCTGATGGGAAACAAAAAGTTCTCTACAATTCTTTTCACTGAAAAAAGAAAAAGACTTTTGTCCCTAGTAATTAAATCAGAAATTATTTTATATTTAAAAATAAATGTATTGTGGATTCAGTTTTATTGAAAGGGCTGACATTAAACAAATCACATATTTGGGTATTTTTACTTCCCCCCATCCTTGAACTCAGATTACCTGGCTTAATTACAGCATTATCTGTTATGTGAAAGATTTTAACTTTCTGTTTTGGTGGCAATCCAAGTTCTTGGTAAAATTCCAATATAGATGCAGATTTCTAAAGAAAAAGCAGCATACATAAGTAACACATTGAATACTAAAGGTGAAGTTTAATGCACAGAGATCTAAACTAAATTATTAACACACCAGAAAACAAATCAAAGAGCACTCTGTTCTCCTAATGAACAAAGAGCACCCTACTCTCCTTATTTAAAGGTGAGATTTTTATCTATAATCCATTACACGTAGAATGCAACCAGGCGCACAGTGTAGCTCATATCTAGTGCAGCTCATATCTAGTATTTGACCACTCCATGGTCAATACAACTTTTATTGGTTCTATCAGCAAAGCTTGGCACACGACCACTCTTT